GTGGTGACTATAAACTGAAGTCAGCCAGAATCTAACAGCTCTGAGCTCAATTTCATAACTGAGTCTTGTAGTTTATCCTACTCTCTGTAACGACTTTCAACTGTCATGGATTTGTTTTGTCTGGGACCTGGTCCTCCTTGTAAAACTCACTTTTTCTCATTCACACTTTTTTGCTAATTTACGAGAAAATTAGGTATGCTCTTCAATTCACTCACTGAACGGATGAGTAGCCTAAGAATGTGTCTGACAAACTTTACAGAACAAAGGAAATTCTATAGTCACGTTCTTCTAAAAAAGAGATTTAACTAACTCAACTTTAATAACCAGCAACCGAGTTACCTAAATCCTCCTTCAATCTGTTTATATTTTTTAGACCAAACAACTCCTAAAAATATATGGATTTTTATAAGTGGCTTACACCAGAATAGGCTTCAGCAAAATATTTCTCAGTGATGATAATTTGTCCTAAATCAGATTCTAAATGATGTTATTGTCGTTTTTCATAAATAAGTTCATACCCTCCATAACACTCCAGTTTCCTCCTCTTGGCCAATATGCTTCTATCTAAAGAGTGTTAACATTTCTGGTCTGCACTCATAATGGTTCTTTCCAACTTTTAATTGTCATATCTATTCCCTTCTCCTTCTGTTACATCTTTCTTAAGATTCAGGGCCGGGCGCGGTGGCTCAAGCCTGTAATCCCAGCACTTTGGGAGGCCGAGGCGGGTGGATCACGAGGTCAGGAGATCGAGACCTGTCCTGGCTAACATGGTGAAACCCGTCTCTACTAAAAAATACAAAAAACTAGCCGGGCGTGTGGCGGGTGCCTGTAGTCCCAGCTACTCGGGGCTGAGGCAGGAGAATGGCGTGAACCTGGGAGCGGAGCTTGCAGTGAGCCGAGATCGCGCCACTGCACTCCAGCCTGAGCAACAGAGCGAGACTCCGTCTCAAAAAAAAAAAAAAAGAAAAAAAAAAAACAGATTCAGGATCCTTGGCTAACTCAGAGTTTTACTTAAGGCTGAAATTATCTTTTGCTGCTTTTCCAATGTGCTTACTCATGTCAGGACACTTCAGAAACCTTTCTGACTACATATCTAAAGGGCATAATGAAGCTCACTTAAATTGGCTCAGTATGTTCACTTTTATTAGTCAGAATATTTATTTTGGGAATGAGCTTTATGTTAGAGTGTCATTTCAAATCAGCCGGGCTACAGATTAAATATTCTTCTTAAAACTTGCCCTTTGCCCAAAAGCTGCCTTTGCTTTCTGAACACTATATCCCTTAATTTGGTAGTTGTTGTACCGTGGTCTGGGGTGTCGGGAAAATTGAAGGGGATATTTTGTTGGTTGTCACAATTACAAACCCAAATAAGGTAAGAGGCTGTGCATCTGCAGAGGCACCAACCCGCACTCTAAGAAGGTCACAGTTCCAGGATTAGGAGGCCCTTCTCTGGGTGCTTCGATGTAGCGCAAGGGACTCTGGGCAACTGCCCAGAGTCAGGCCAGAGAGGAGGCCATGGTGCAGGTGTCTGTCTTTTCTGCTTGACTTCCAAGGATCTGAATCCTCTTCGCACCGTATGAATCTTGCTGGGAACAGAATGCAACTCCAACTTTAGAAGCTGAAAATACCAGCTTTTTCAGCTCCCCTGGCAGGTAAGGCAGCAGGAATGTACCCCCCGGGCTCAGTGAATTGCATGATTCCTTCCAAGCGTCTGTATCTAGAGCAAGTGATGCAAAAAGGCAGAGACACTGAAGAATTCTTTCTGGAAGTGGCTGTGATGGCAGCACCATCTCACTTCCAGGGACAGTGGCTGATCCCAACAGGGGTGTGCTGAGTCCCCTGTCCAGGCTCAGGGCTGACATGCGGTCAGGACTAGCCATGGCAGGTAGCGTTCGAACACAGCCGTGTCCTCACAGGTGGGCTCTGTGCCTTCTGCTGCTGTGGTCCTGACTGTGCAGCTTCCTTCGCTTCTGCTCATTTCTGGGCCTGATTCTCCATGCTCCTCAAACTCCCACCACTTCCCACCTTTGCTCCCTCCACCCTCAATGAGTCCTGTTTTTCTTTCACTAGCAAAATCAAAACCACAAAAAAAGGAACGGCTTCCTTTACTTTCCCAAGTCTATGAATGCATTTGCATCTGCACATCTGCTCCTTCTCTCCAGACGGAGGAAGGGAGGAACCTCTTCCTGTCAAAAGCCAATGCCTTCCTCCTCTTGCTGGATTGCACTCCCCTGCCTTCTGTTGGACCCACCCATCATCGGCTTGCAAATGTCTCTCCCATCCCAAAGAAGAGAAAACGCCTCTCCTTCCATCCAGATCCTCTTCCAGCCCTACCCCACCTCTCTTCTCCCAACACATCCACACCTCAACTGCTGTGCAGGGACTCACTCCCCTCTGCTCCTCCAATTCTCTCAGAGTTCAGGTCCCCGTCCAGGCTCGCCTCCCTCCACACTCTACTTCTATCTTACACCACCGATGATTGATGTAAATCTCCAGCCCAGACTTCTCACATAGACGTCAGTGCCGGATTTCCTGGAGGCACGGCACTTCCGGCCCCAACTGAGCCTGACCCAAACTGAAGCTTGACCCCAGCCCCCTGGAGCCTGATAACTCCTACTTAACCTCAGGCCTCCACTGAGCAGTCCCTCTGGGTAGTTGTCTGCATTCTGTGCTTGATGCAGCACTGCACTTCTCCTTTAAAACACTCCTCACAAGAGTGATTAAATAATCAAATCTAGAATGCACATGGCCTTGTGAATACAAGACACGTACTCAGTCTTCCTGCTCACTCCTCACCTGCAGCAGGAATCCTCTGAGCACATGCTGCTGTGGGCCAGGGCAGGGCCGGTATCCTGCCTGGATGAGGGCGATGCTGGGAGTCAGCCAGAACTCTAAGGATTCCACTTACTTGGTGTAAAACAGGACAGCTCAAAGTCACTTTCACTGTGATAAGAAGGCACATCCCAGGTGAACTCTTGGATCAGGATGTCAGAATTTCCCTTGAGTTCCAAATGCCCCCACATAAATGCTCTGGCTCTCCCAAGGACCCCAGTAGGCATTTTTCATAGCAGAACAAATGTGTGGGTCAGAGTGACACTGCAGGGCAGGGGGTGTTAAGAAAGGTTACCACGGAATGGGGTGAGGGAAGGTGGCTGGGAAGCGGAGTGAAGTGCAGGTGGATTCCATGCCTGACGCACACCAGAACTGGGTTTCTGTCCCATCAGCATAGGCCGGTAGCCAGGTGACTTGACTGGAATGTCGCTGAGCCTCAGTTTCCTGAAATCCAGCTCTGGGATGTCACTGCTGGGAACTAGGGCAGGGATGGCAGCCTACCCCAGAAAGGACGTGGAGTATAACAGGAGCCAGGGAGGTGGACAGGTAAGCCAGACAGATCCGCCTCAGAAGGTGTGGGTTAAACAGAGAAACCGGAGCCAGCAGTCTTGGCTCTGGGCACATTCAGTGAGCCTGGGGACAGCATATCCTACTCTGTCCACTGGAGGAGGGGACTAATGGTGAGGGTGGGGGAAGCATTTTCCATGCCAGCAAGGACTATCCCACTACAAACAATCCAGCTATTTCTTGGGGAATTCAGTCTGGGTCTTAAGAGGGTAAGTGGTAGTGGCTGAGCATTCTGGAGAGAGGCCTCTGGGGTGGAGTATGGGAAACCCCAAGGTCCCTCATCCCCAGCGTCCACACAACGACAGGTCTTCCCCTGCACACCTTCCGTGGACCCAGCTCCACGCCTTCCCTTAATCTCTCATCCCTTTGTCTTCCTTCCTTAAGCTTTTCCCAATCCTGGGAGCCTTTTGTGCTCCCTGTAATCCAAATGCTACACAGAGAGGATTTAGGATTTAGGATATTCCCCCAAGATCAGTATTGGCTTCTACCACTCTATCTTGCAAATGTGAAATATTAAAGCTTTTATAACTACATGGGACTAGATGAGATTTTTGGGCATAGCTTAAAGGAGAATTCTAATTTGTAACATTTTTATTGGAAAAAATGCAATTTAAGTTTGAAATATCTGATGTAACTTTCGGTACACACCTCATTTATACTTGTATATGATTTCCCCCAAGGCAATATTATATAAAATAATCTAATGTTGAAATGGGACAATATGATCAATGTGAAAGATCATCTCACTAATTGACCATACAAATACCACCCTATAGTCGTCAAAAGCAAAGAAATAGATGCATATCCAGCAATATGGGTGAACCCACATAATAGAAAGCACAGGAAAACTGAAAATGTCAAACTAGATGTGATAGCACATTTAGACAAAGTTTAAAAATACATACATAAAAAAAGCACTTCATATTTTATGGGCAGTGTATTGTAATGGTTGAGAGTGCAGAATCTGGAGCCAGAATGTCTGGTGCTAGTTTCCAAACTGTGCCATCTCTTAAGAAATTAAGCTTTGAGATTCACTCAATCTCCTCGTGCCTTACTACCCTTGTCTGTATAAAGAAATAATAATACTTAATGTTGAAATTTTTTAAAGGGCCCAATAAAAACCATCCCTCATCCCTATCTGGTTCTGAACCAATTAAGAAGTAAGAAAGAGGAGCAGGGCAGATGAGGACAAAAGACCATATTTCTGGGGGAAGTGGGTCTTAGAGGATGCAGGTTGTAGTTGCTGATACACCCTGTGGCTGGGCAGCCCATGTGCTTCACTTAAGCAGAGAAGAGCACTGGGCTGCTCCCAAGGGAGGAGGCAGAGGTGTGCATGCCCAGCTCTAGACTCCACACTCACCATCTGGCAGAAAATGGGCAGAGAAAGGCTGGGAGCATGCCCGGGGGTCCCTCTGCATGGAAAGAGACATCAGTGCACATGCAGCACACAGGGTCAGCATGAGGAGTAAGAGGCCATTCCTGCGGGACTCTTGACACAGAGCGCAGCACACAGTAGGTGCTCAGCCCACAGCAGTGAGCGCTGCTCAAGGGATAAGTGTGTTTAAGGATAAGTAGCAAAGAGGTTAGAGCAGATGCTTACAAAGGAGAAGGGATCAGGAGTGGGGATCTTAGACAAAAGACGAAAACAGAAATAAAACAAGAGACAGGCACAGCTCACAACACACTAGGAACCAAGACATATGAGCAGCTCACTCCTAGAAGCCAACATGCATAGCTCTACAATTCTCTAATGACTTCTTCCTATGGAGACAGAATGACTCAAAACTAAACAGAACAGCAGTCTCTAGTAATCACAAAATGTATATTGCTGCATGTTCTGGTCAAATGACTTGGCAAAAATCCAGGGAATCTTTTGAAATGTCTGTCAGCCCCTTGTCCTGGTTCCAGGCCAGCCTCGGGAGCCACTTTTGGTTCAGGGTGGAGAGAATATGGCACAACAGGGAGAGCCTCATAAATGCAATTGCCAATGGGCACATGTACCCAAGGCGGAGTCACGTGCAGTCTACAAGGAACCCTTTCCTTCTTGTGGTTTTGGCAGTCAGTACTTGAGATTATTCTTTAACTCATTCTTGTTAGCTAAGAGAAATAGGTATATTAACCGCCTCACTGGTAAAGAAAGAAGACAGCTTCCACTTGAATTGCAATTCAATTGCCCAGGGAATAAATCCACCCCAAATTTGGGAAAACTTTCTAAGCTTTAAAATATCCATCTGGAAGGCCGGATCCTGCTCCTGCCGGCCATCCAGATCCCACGGCTCTGCCTTGTATCTCTATGACCCTGTAAACTTCTGGCTTCTTCTTTTCTCGGCATTCTATTCAGGCTGGAAAGACCTTTCCATAAACCAAACCCAGGACTGGTTGCTCCTTGAAACTGCTGGTGCACAGGCACAAAGGCCTAAAGATGGCCACATGGGGCTGTCTTTTCATTGTAGTTCAGTCAGAATCTCAGTTTCTGTTCGTGGAGTTCTAAAAGGAAATCTTTGCTTTTTTTTCTGCTCCATTCCAGGGAATCAGTTTGGAAAGTTCTGTCCATCTGCCCTGTGTCCTACAACTGAGGAGCTGAGGATAGTTAGAGGCACTCTCCGTCAGAATGGAGTTTGTGTCCATCATGGTAAGTTAGCTGTGGTTGCAGTGACCATCCATGCCAAAACCTCAGTGACTTCAAACAATATGTTTGTATCTCACCCCTGCCCCACGTGTACTGAAGGTGGGCTCTGTTCCATGCTCTTCTCACCCAAGGACACAAACTGATGGAGGCTGTATTGTCCGGGACATCACTGAGGCAGAGGGAAGGAACTGTGGTGCATGGGGAACCAAAGCAGGCCCCATGGTCATGTTTTCTGTTAAAGACAGAGGACGTTCAGAATACCCTGAGCCTGGAAGGAGACCTGGAAATCCTAGTGAGCCAGGAGTACAGACAACGATGCTTAGGCAACCCCGCTGCATACCAGTTTGGCCCCACTGTCCTGGCTAAGTTGGAAATCAGTGGTGGTAGAAGTTGAGACTTCAGAGATGTTGCGTCACTTTTTCTTCACTCACACGTCCCACGCTGGCCATGGAGGATCACCGTGGCTGAGAGAAGACAAAGTGTATCCCTGACGCAGGGAAAATGTTACTCTGAAACTTAAGTGTACATTAGAAGCAACCAGAAAGCATGTTAAAACTCAGATTCCCAGGCTATAATTCTGGAAATTCTAATTCAGTGGAAATTCAGAGAGCTCAAATTCAATAGATCAGCAGGAAGTACTGATGATCAGTACTCATGACCTTGACTCGTGATCAGGTAGCCCTGGTCATGACAGTCTAGTAGAGATGACCAGACATTCCAGTCTGCCTGGGACGGTCCTGGTTTTAGCACTAAAAATCCTGCATCTCCAAAACCCCTCAATCTCAGGCAAACTGGGATAACTGGTCACCCTATGAAAAGGACCCAATAAACTCTGATTTATCTTCTTTTTTTTTTTTTTTTTTTGTCTCGCTCTGCCGCCCAGGTTGGAGTGCCGTGGCCGGATCTCAGCTCACTGCAAGCTCCGCCTCCTGGGTTCACGCCATTCTCCGGCCTCAGCCTCCCGGAGGCTGGGACTACAGGCGCCCGCCACCTCGCCCGGCTAGTTTTTTGTATTTTTTAGTAGAGACGGGGTTTCACCGTGTTAGCCAGGATGGTCTCGATCTCCTGACCTCGTGATCCGCCCGTCTCAGCCTCCCAAAGTGCTGGGATTACAGGCTTGAGCCACCGCGCCCGGCCTCTGATTTATCTTCTAAAGACAAATAGAAAAGGTCCTTTTTTGCGAAACCTTCCTGAAATGGTTTGGCTATGTCACCACCCAAATCTCATCTTGAATTGTAGCTCCCATAATTCCCACATGGTATGGCAGGGACCTGGTGGAAGATAATTGAATCATGGAGGGAGTTTCTCCCATACTGTTCTCATGGTAGTGAATAAGTCTCACAAGACCTGATGGTTTTATAAGGGGAAACCCCTTTTGCTTGGTTCTCATTCTCTCTTGTCTGCTGCCATGTAAGACATGCTTTTTGCCTTCTGCCATGATTGTGAGGTCTCCCCAGCCACGTGGAACTGTGAGTCCATTAACTCTCTTTTTCTTTACAAATTACCCAGTCTCAGGTATGTCTTCATCAGCAGCATGAAAACGGACTAATACACTTCCTAAAATATTCCAAGCAAAGATCATGCCTTCCTCCATGGTAGTTACACTTATCAGGGATACCACAATCTTTGTGCATGCATTTGACTCTCCAGGAAGCATGTGAAACCCCAGAAGCCAAACGCTGCCCACTGAACTAGAAACCCAGGCCTCCTCTGCTTGGCTCCCTGGGCTGCTGATTAGTCCCACACCTGGAGCTCTATCTGCTGGGATTCTTCAGCTTGAGGAACTGCAGGTCAAGAGAGGATAGGTGGGCAGGTGATTGCAGTGGCAAATAAAAGGCAAAAACAGTGGCATCTGCCAGAAGGATTAGTCAAGCAGAATTATTAAATTAATAGGAAGAAGGACAAGGAAGAGGAGAACTAGCACTTGTTGAGGATTTAGTTTATGCCAGATACTAATGCTTACATGTTTTGTGGCCTTTACAACACCCCTAGTTTGTCAGTACTATTATTATCTCTAATCTATAGATGCAGAAGCTGAAGTTTGGAGAAGACACATGGCATGTTCACAGTTACACGGTAAGTAGGTAACAAAGCAAGGACGTAAACCTACATCTATAGGATTCCGAAGCCTGTGCTCTTAAGCAATTAGTTTCCCTGGTATCCCAAACAGCTACAGGGTGAGATAGAGCCAAGGCAGGGGAGTTGGATGCTGAAAACCTGCCCGCCCTGCAGGTCCCTTCTTCAAGGAGCCTTTCCTCCCTGAGTGGTTCCACAAGGGATTGCCGCACAGACTGATTTTCCAGCACCCTCATGAACATACCCAAGAAAGCCAATTTCTGTTTACTGATCAAATGGAAGGAATCGAAAGAGTTAGCTGGGTGTGAGAAGTTTTACCCCAATCTTCAGGTCTGTGTGTCCCTAACATACCACATTCATTCCCACCCTCAAAGTCATTTGGGAGGCTTTGCCCCCTCCTCCTCCTAGACCCCATCTTTCTGCACCAAAGCTCTCGCCTCTTCCCCGCTGCCCATCCTGCTGCTAGCCCCAGCCCTTGCCTCAGCTCCTCTCTTCCCTCTGAGCCCTTCCAGCCTCTGGCAGCTCAGAATGTGGCCCACAGACCAGCAACCTTGGCCTCACCAGGGGGCATCTTAGAAATGCAGGATCTGCAGGCACAGCCACACCTTGTGAATCAGAATCATCATTTTAATAAACGATCCAGATGCACTTTAAGGTTTGGGAAGCCCTGGTTCAGCCCATAATACACACCCTTTTTCCATCAGAATCACATTGCCAGGGCTGCCCTTTCTCCTAAGGAAAGCTGATCTCATGTGACTCTGAAGTCAACGTATTACCTCTCCTAAAGACATTAGCCTTTTATTTTTTATAATTTCAACTATTACTTTAGATCCAGGGCATGCACGTGCAGGTTTGTTACATGGGTATATTGCATGATGCTGAGGTCTAGGGTACAACAGATCCCATCATCCAGGTAGTGAGCATAGTACCCAGTAGTTTTTCAACCCTTTTCCCCTCCCTCCCTCCTCTAGTAGTCCCCAGTGTCTGTTGTTGCCATCTTTAAAGACATTAGCCTTTTAAAAAAGCTTTATCCTCAGCCAAAGGAATTCCAGGCTCGTGGGAAACCTACTCTTGCCTCCTGAAATTACACCATGCCAATGGCTGCCAGACCATCTCCCTGGAAAGCTGGCCCTGTTTTCCTGCCTGTGAAGTGTAGGTCTTCTTCATGCCATGACTACACACCGGTTTGGGGAGCAAAGTAAGTGTCTTCAGGTAGATAGTACAAAGTATGGTGTATCTGTGCAGGTCTATCTGCTATAGGATAATACATTGAGCAAAGAATTTCACTGTAGAGCATGCTTTAGTCCCCAACTGTCCTCCAAAGCAAGCAATAAATCTTAACAAGAAGAGAAATAATGACTAGGAAGAAGTACAACGTGGGTAGGAGGGGTGTTTTAAAGAATGCCTGAAGACAAATGTCATGTTCTAGATGCTTAGGATGAATCCCTGTATATTTAGAATCCCACCCTCAGCTAGCAACACACATGTTATTATCCCACTGTCACTGGAAACATTTAAGAGCAAAAGAAAAATTTCTCTGGAAATGAAGTAGTACAATAGCTCTTGAGGTCTTATAATTAAAGGATATATTTGCTCAAGGGGAAAACAACCAAATCAATTTTAAAAGGCAACAGCTGAGTAAAAGCAAGTTCTTTGTCCATTAGGGGTTGTAAAAGGAAAATTATAACCTGGCACCGCCTTCAGACAGCCTTTGATGCTCAGTCATTCTACTTGCTGTTGAGCTTCTCTGTAACAATCCACTTAGAAAAAAACCCAAGAAATAAGCCTTGGTAAGCTCATAAAGTTAGAGTGTCTTCCGCAGAATTGCACTATACTTCTCAAAATGACTCAGAAATATTTAACACTATAAATAAAAAAAGAAATACTTCTGTATGAATATACAAATTTTTCAGGCTTAGGATAATCATAAAGGTAAAATATGCCTGGACCGCATATTCTAAGTAAGAAAAAATGTATCACTGAAATGAAAACAGTAATTATATTTCACTGTTTCATCAATATATTGCTTGTATTCATCTACATCCTATTTTGTTTAAGAAAAAAAGAGTGAAGGCTGGGTGCAGTGGCTCATGCCTGTAATCCCAGCACTTTGGGAGGCCGAGGCAGGTGGATTACCTGACGTTAGGAGTTCAAGACCAGCCTGGCCAACATGGTGAAACTCCATCTCTACAAAAATACAAAAATTAGCTGGGCATGATAGCGGGTGCCTATAATCCCAGCTACTCAGGAGGCTGAGTCAGGAGACTCACTTGAGCCCGGGAGGTAGAGGTTGCAGTGTGTCAAGATCGCACCATTGCACTCCAGCCTGGGTAACAGAGCAAGACTCCGTCTCAAAAAAAAACCGAAAAAGAAGAAAAGAAAAGAAGAAAAGAGCGGGGTGGAGATTGAGGTCAGTGTATAAGGATGGAAAGAAAATGGCAATGTGAAATTACCAAAAATCAAAAACAAAAAAAAAAGGAGTAAAAGCAAAATTACAGATAGGGATGAAATGTTGAACCCATAATGAGGTTTGCACACAAAATAATGCAGGCCATGAAGCTCTGTCCCCCTGCATGGTGGAGCCATACATTTGACCCTGTGCTTCTAGTAGCCAGCAAAAGGACGGAAACATAATCCCAGGGCCCATACATTTTTGTTTTATTTTGTTTTTCAGTGTCCCAAAGAAGCACTATTCCGGGACTAAAGGGATTGTCCAAAAGGATGTTTGCAGGGGAACACAGTGGGTGGTGATGAACAACATCATGACAGCATCCTGCAAGAGGGACAGCAATTATGACCAAACACCCACACGGGTCATGAGCATTCCAGCTAAGCCCAGCACAGACAGGACAGGAGCGTCACGTACATTGCCATTACACAGCGCCTAAGGCTGGCTCTGGCACCAGACTGCGGGGAGCAAATCCTCGGTCTATCCCATACAACCCTGTGAGGCTACAAAACATCTCTGGGCTTCCCTTTTCCCCTTCTAGAATGTGGGGACCCACCTCATAAGCTTGTGGTGAGGATTAAATGAGTTAATAATGGTAAAGTGCTTAGGTCAATTTCTAGCATGTGAATTATGTTAACAGTAAATTTATGTTGTATCTGCCATATATATATAATCATTCTTAAATTCTAAGTGATTACGTTTTGAAGCAGATGTTGAAGAGTTTTCGAAGACTTACAAGATTATCTACCACAAAAGAGCAACATACTTTCTCCCTACCATCTATTTTTGAAATATTTAAATGAATACAATTAATACTCTAAATATAAATGACCAAAGATCCAACCTTTTCATTATTTCTTCAGTGTGTTCTAAGTTATAAAAGACAAATATTTCTACTATCTGTTGCATATGTGTGGCTTTGGTATGTGAGGGACGTATGAGAATAGGGCAGACATAAGTAAGGAAGTCTCTGTATCTTCGTTCATTCGTACGTGAAGTATACATTTGCTGGATTATTTCTATACACCAGACATTTTCCTAGGTGTTGGGGATATAGAAAGGGACAGAATATTATTCTGTACTCCAGTCAGAATTCAATTGAGATCTCTCTCTCTCTCTCTGCACACACACACACATTGAATACATCATATGCACTTTTTAAAAACTTCAGTATGGTCACCCCTCAATACTTTCCTTCATTTTTTTTTCCAGACAGAGTCTTGCTCTGTTGCCCAGGCTGGAGTACAATGGTACAATCTCCGCTCGCTGCAACCTCTGCCTCCCGGGTTCAAGTGATTCTCCCGTCTCAGCCTCCTGAGTAGCTGGGACTATAGGTGCGCGCCACCACACCTGGCTAATTTTTATACTTTTGGTAGAGACAGGGTTTCACCATGTTGGCCAGGCTGGTCTCGAACTCCTAATCTCAGGTGACCCGCCTGCCTCGGCCTCCCAAAGTACTGGGATGACAGGAGTGAGCCACTGCACCAGCATTTTCCCTTCATTCTTTAAGAGATGACAACTGGAAAGCTTTGGCAAATTTCAGCCAGTAGAAAAGCAAGTCAGAATACTGCGTGTCACTCATAGTCCCAGCGACAGTCAGAACCTCCTAGAAGGAAGTGATTGAGGAGAGCTTAATAAAGAACCTACAGCATTGACAAAGTCATGGGTAGTGGGAGGGAAGCCTTCTGGTGATGGGGAAGCATCTCAGAGCTAAGAAGGTCTGAGAACCTCTCCTACCCTCAGCTGAAGGGCAAGGAGAGAGAACAGATGCTGGATCCCAGACAGAGCTGGAACCTTAGAGTGAGTTGCCTGCCAGGAGCCAAGATCCTCATTAGGATGAAACAGCTGGGATACTGCAGCCTGTGGGCCAACAGAGGCAGCTGGGGGACCAAATGCCCCATTGTCTTCGCTCTCCTACCCCCTGAACACCTGGGATACCTCCCCCCAAGCCTGTTGCTGCTGTCCAGGAAGGTCACCAGCCTGGGTCACTGGGCACAGAATGGGGGGTGAGTGGACAGAGAGAAGGGAGACTATCTGGGTCACAAGAGGGCTTGGGCTGTTTAAAGTTTCAAATAATTAACAAATGTATCTTGAACTACATCACCAAATTTGAGCCAGAGAAGAGACGTGAGGTAGCAGAGAAGAGGAGGCCCTTTCAGGATGGGACGACGACAGCTCTGAAGAAAAAGTTCAGTAGGCCAGGCACCAGTGGCTCACAGCTGTAGTGCCAGCACTTTGGGAGGCCGAGGCAGGGGGATCACTTGAAACCAGGAGTTCAAGACCAGCCTGAACAACATAGTGAGGCCCTATCTCTACAAAAATAAAATAAAATCAATAGTCGGGTGTGGTGGCACGTGCCTGTGCTCCTAGCTACTGGGGTGGCTGAAGCAGGAGGATCACTTGAGCTCAGGAGTTCCAGGCTGCGGTGAGCTATGATCACACCACTACATTCCAGCCTGGGTGACAGAGCAAGATCCTGTCTCAAAAATAAAAGAAAAAAGAAAGAAAATAAAAGTTACAGTACATGGCCTAGAGCAGCACTACTCAAAGTGTGGTCCATGGACCAGTGCTGGTCCAGGAACTGTTTGTTAATCATCCACAATAAAACAAGGGGCCAGGGCAGGTGGCTCACGCCCATAATCCAGCACCTTGGGAGGCCGAGGCAGGCGGATCACCTGAGGCCAGGAGTTTGAGACCAGCCTGGCCACATGGCGAAACCCCATCTCTAGTAAAATTACAAAAATTAGCCAGGTGTGATGGCATGTGCCTGTAGTCCCAGCTATTGGGGAGGCTGAGGCAGGAGAAAGGCTTGAACCCAGGAAGTGGAGGTTGCAGTGAGCCAAGATCGCGCCACTGCCCTCCAGCCTGGGAGACAGAGCAAGACTCCATCTCAAAAATCAATCAATCAAACAAGGATAGAAATCTAGAGTCAGCATTTAGAAAGCCTTAAAACAATTTAAAAGAGTAAGCTGATATCTGTTAAATCTGCTTTTGTTAAATGGGGCTTATACTTTGTATGTCTTTAGGTTTTATTTCCAACTTTTCTGGACTTTGGCCTAGGCAAAGAATTCATGACTAAGACCACATAAGCACAAGCAACAAAATCAATAATATATAATTGGGACCTAATTAAACTAAAAAGCTTCTGCACTGCAAAATAAATAATCAACAGAGTGAACAGACAACCTGCAGAATGGGAGAAAATATTTGCAAACTTTGCATCTGACAGGGGACTAATATCCAGAATCTACAAGGAACTCAGTTCAACAACAACAAATAAATGACCTAATTAAAAAGTAGGCAATGGGCCGGGCACGGTGGCTAACTCCTATAATCCCAGCACTTTCAGAGGCTGAGGCAGGCAGATCACCTGAGGCCAGGAGCTCAAGACCAGCTTTGCCAACATGGCAAAACCCCATCTGTATTAAAAATACAAAAATTAGCCGGGTGCAGTGGCAGACGCTTGTAATCCCAGCTACTGGGGAGGCTGAGGCACGAGAATCACTTGAACCTGGGAGGCAGAGGTGCAGTGAGCCGAGATCACGTCACTGAACTCCAACTGGGCAACAGAGCAAAATCCTGTCTCAAAAAAAATAAAAAATAAATAAACAGGGGCTTGTGTGAACACTATAGCCACCTACCCACAGAAGCAAGTAGCGGCAGCCCAAGCCAGGTGTCAGGCCCACCTGCTCTAAATACCAGGCACCTTCAGGCCCAGCCCTGCCCAGGGCCTAAGCCAAAAGACACCCAATCCTGGCAGTGCGGGTGCGATGCCCTCCCCATGAAACACAGAGATTTACACAACAGCCATCCACGCAGTCTTCCTGCCCTTGCCTCACTCCACAGCAAGGAGGCTGGACTGTGCTCTCATGTGCTTTATCTCGCCTGGGCCAGGCTCTGGCTGGGCACTCTTGCCCTCATGAGAGCTGTGTCAGCTGCTCTGCCCACCTGGGACCGTGTGCTGGAGGCAGCACCTGGATTTCAGCTGCCTGAGCCCACCTGGATGGCGATTTGAACTGATTCCAATGAGGGGAAGAGTGCTGCATCTCCCGGCTCTGGGCTTCCTTGCCCCACTCGCCCTCCCCATCTCTTTGGGAGCTCCCAGGATACTTGGTGCAAGAGGCAGCTCGAGGGATGGTGACCGCCTGCCCAGCAAGGATGACTGTGAGGGGAGGGGAAAGAACTGAATGTTCCATGCTGGTTATGCTGGTTATTCTGTGATGCTGAGGAGCGACAAAAGTAAACACACAATTTTATCATTCAAAGTGTTTAAAACCTATGGAACAGAGTATGTCACGCATGGTGCGCTGAATCTGGAATTCCTAAGCCATAGAATGTTTGCATTTGTGGTTTGAAAATTAAAGAGAGAAATGCAATAGCTCAGGAATTTGCTTTCAAGTGAGAGAGACACGGGCACATAAAACATCCTTATCTGCAGGCTACAAGACCAAAGGGAACCTCGTGAGGAAGAGCAGCAGGAGCTGCCAGGTGGAGGAGACAAAACCTGGCCCCTCTGGTCTAGAGTGAGCTGTGGGATTCCTGGGGAGGCAGGATGGTCACACTGTCTGTGCCCCGAGGCCACTTGGCGGACCTAGTACAACTGTCCTAGACAGGCAAAGAGCTTGGTCTTGCTGCAGCCCCGCTTATGGGGGAGCCCCAGAC